AGATAGATAGATAGATAGATAGATAGATAGATAGATAGATAGATAGATAATGGATAGATAGTTAGATGATATACAGATGATAGACACATAGATAGGTACATATGTAGATAGACAGATACATACATGGATACATACAGAGGCAGAGAATAGAGAGTGGTTAGAGAGAGATTAGATGAGACAGATGCCCATCCAGACAGTGAATAGAACACTGACCACACAAGCCTGAGGAGCTGATTTCAGCTCTCAAGAAAGCACATAAATTAACCATAGTGCATGTCCATAATCCCAGCATTCCTACGGCAAGATGTGAGGCAAAGACCACACAGTCCCCAGCAGCCTAGTGTGCGTAGGAGACACCTTCTCAGCAAGGTAAAATGTATGGCCCAACACCCAAAGTTGTCCTCTGACCTCTAGGATTACGTGTGTGTGCCCACTTCATCTCTAAAACAGAAAACCCATGGCTCCAATCTTCATATTTAAACAAATGAAAAAAATCTTGCAAACGTGAAAGAAAACCAGAAAAGTGGAAGCTCATGCATCGAGACACACTGGTGCCCAAAACAAAAGCAACAGGAAAGAGGAAGGAAAGCTGCAGCCCCCAGTCTGGTCCCAGCTCAGCACTGTCTTCCCCTGCTCCCTGCAGCAGAGCACCGCCATGGCTCAGAGTTTCTCACAGAGTTCACACTCACCTGAATTCTTTTACCCATCTTGAACGAGACCAGAGCTGGACTGATTTTACACCCTGGCTCTACCCCTCATTAACTAAGTCCTGTTCACTGTCTTTCCTTTTGCATGTGTTGTGTGTGCATTGCGTGTGTGTTACGTGCAATGCACTGTATTGTGCATATACTGCATTGTGTGCATTGTGTGTGTGTGCATAGCGCAAGTGAGCATGCACATGTATGTTCAGGCATGTATAGACCACGAGGATGACCTCAGACTTCATCCCTCAGGTACCATCCACCTTAACTGTACAGACAGACTCTCTCCCTGGCCTGGAGTCCACCAAGTGGGCTAGGCTGGCCATCAGGGCTAGGGATCATCTTTCTCTACCCACCAGATCCACACGTGGAAGTGTGCAGCAGCGTGCTTGGCTTTTTTAACAGATTCTGGGATCAAACTGAGGTCTTCCTGTTTGCACAGCAGGCACTTCACACACTGAGCTGTTGCCCAAGCCCAGCAAGCTACCGCCTTTACTCCTGTCTTCTGCTCTCTGAGACGAGGGTGACAATGACTTTGTAAAGACGAAGCGCTGTGCAATGGTAAGGGGAGGACTACTGGATGCACACATGTGTTTACTCGGTACTGCTAGAACTGAGATGGCTCACAGTGCACACGTGCCAAATGAACAGCTCCAGGAAGATCTCCCTAAGTCGAGGAACTTTGTCAAAGGGCTCCAAAGTAGAGGTTTGCTGTGCACAGCAGACCCAAGACTGTAGCCTATGCGCAGGACCCCTCCAAGAATGTCACTTCTCCCTGAAAGCCATTTCCAGCCCACACCCCAGCCATCCCTCCCTTGTCCCATTCAGCCTCACACTCACCCCAAAAGAGGAGCAGCCCGAAGCCCCGCATTGTACTGTGGCAGTCATTCAAGGAAGAAAGCCTTCCCTTTAAAAACTTGCTGTGTGGGGAAGGAAAGGGGTGGAGCTAGGGTTGCTCAACGCAGTCAGACAGAGCCTGGGCAGCTTTCTGCTGAGTTGCCACCATCAGAGGTGGACAGCCTGGCAATCCCCTAATTTCTCCCTTAAATCTGGCTGGTGCACACATTGCTCCCTTTCCTCCTTCCTGTCCTCCTCCTGCACCTCCTCCTCATCTTCCCCCGTCTCTCACCATTTCCCTCCTTCTCTCTCCATCTCTCCTTTATCTCACCTCTCCTTCTCTCCTCTCTTTCATTCTTTTATTTCAGCACCACCCCTTTATCTTCCACCTCTCTTCTCTTCCTCTATTTGCACCAAACCAGTGAGGTTGTGTATGCTTCACACAGTGACGCAAACCCCAATCTTCAAGGTATCAAAGCCTTTTCCACGAAGCCACCCTCATAACCGTGCTGTATCTGGCGACTGTGATCCATGGGCTTTCTGCCAAGAAGATTCAGTTCTGTCATCTTGTCAACCTTGTGGCATACACACAGACCACAGACCACACCATACACACACACCACACACCACAGACTACACACCCCACAGTACACACCACACTTTGATTATCCCCCCCCCATAGGAACCATTTCATCCCCAGCCCCCAACACATGTGCCAACATGACCTCAGAAATGCAGAAGTCAAGTCACGTGTTAGCTGGGATCCCCTAGTATTGGTCTGGAGCCCGGATCTTTCCCTCAGAGCATCCAGGCACAGAAGTGAGCAGGCACTGGACCTAAAGGAATGAAGCTTTGCTGGACATGTAGGTTAGCAGTCCAGCAGTGAGTGCCTGAAAGCCTTCTCCAACCTTTCGGTGACAAAGCTCTGCTTTATTGGGGGGAATAAGGCTATATAAAGCTCGGGGGGTCGATAGGGGTTACCAGGGTGGGTGGACATCATTGGCTAGGGCTGAGGTGTTGGGAATGCTTCATTTGCATTAAGAGGAAGTCCAGGTGCTAGCTGGACACGTCCTAATGAGGAAACCTGAAAGTTGGCCACCGGATAAAGTGACTGCCTGGAGGGTATCAGAGGTGGGGGTCGAGGGACGACGTGAGTCAGACACGCAGACTTGGAACCAGAAGGGAGCTAGCCTTACTCCTGCTGGTCTCAAGATGAGATTTTTGGAATTTAGACACAGCTCAACCTCACTCTTGCTCCAGGCCAGTTCCCCAGGTGTCACAGTTCACATGCCCCATACTTTAGGTGCAGGCTCTGACACAAAGACACTGGTCAAAGCAGTTTTCAGAGAGATGACCCTATGATAGAACAGTTGAGGAGCAGGGAAGTGAGAAAAGAGGCAAAAATGAGGGCTGTTAAATTAGTATTTGGAACGTGGAGCCTATGGAAGTATCTGTCTTCCTCAGGGTTCTTATTGCTGTGAGGAAACACCATGACTAAAGCAGTTTGGGGAATAAAGGGCTTATGTGGCTTATGCTTTCACAGCACTGTTGATCATCAAAGGTAGCCAGGAACCCAAACAGGGAAGGAACTTGGAGGCAGGATCTAATGCAGAGACCATAAAGGCTTGTTCCTCATGACATGCTCAGCTTGCTTTCTCATAGAACCCAAATCACTAGCCCAGGGATGGCACTGATCATAATGGGCTGGGCCCTCCCCATCAATCACTAATTGAGAAAATTCCTGACAGGCTGGCCTAAAGTTAGATCTTCTGGAGGCATTTCCTCAACTGAGGCTCCCTCCTTTCAGATGATCTCAGCTTGTGTCAAGTTGACCTAAAACTGTCCAGCACAACATTGGAGAACACATTTTGCAGAGGGTGCTCCCAAGGGACGTTGGTATTCCCACTTCTGTCATCAGCCAGTGGGGTTTTTCTCTTAAGGGGATCCAGCCTGATGACACTCTGAGCCTGACCCCACAAGCAGGTGGCTGGTTCCAGGCGACACAATTCTGTCAACAATAAAACAGTGCCTGTAGGATGTCAGGATAGCATGTGCTGGTCAGTTAAGAATCGTGGGTGTGATCAAACAAGACCAGCATTATATAGAAATACAATACCAGAGTCTAGCTCTTGGGATGAACATTCCACTCACTTATCAGGCTTCTTCAGTTGGTTGGTTGGTTGGTTAATTTAGTTTGTTTTGAAGGGTTTGGTTTTGGTTTTGATTTTTGTACACTTCCTTTTGCTCTGTGAAGTAGACTCTCCTCTTTAGCTTTGTGTCAAAATGTTGACATTCCAAGAAGCTTATTTTTCCGTTAGGCAATGCAGAGACTCATAACAGGTCACAGGGGATAACCAGATGCTCAGTCACCTTCCAAGGCTCAGGGAATGTCAGGGAAGAAGGGAGGAAAGAAAGTAAAGGCATCAGGATGAGGTGTCGTGCCGGGGACTGTGGGCAGGGCATGGCATGACATGAACATGCTATGGTCACACGAGCAAGACCTGTGCAGGGTTGACCCACCAACATCTGCTGAGAGAGGGAGCTCCCAAGACACCACGTCCCTTAGAGGGTGACGAAACCCGGTTCCTCCCTGAGGATATGTTGGCAGTTAACGGTAGAAGAGACATTCCTAAGTGTTGTGGCCAATGGTGAGGTGTCCGGTTCTAGAAATAACTTCGTACCCACACGCATGCCAGCAACACTAACGAAATTCACTGGGTCACAAGAAGAAGAGCATAGAAGTAGAAGGGGGACTTGGAGGGGTGAGGTGGATGGAATGAGGAGGAGAAACTCGCCAGCAACAAGAGGCAGGAAAATGCTCCAACTACACGGTAATGAAACCTGTTGTTATGCACAGTCAGCACTTCTGAGAAACAGGTTGTAATCTGATATGCTGGACGCCGATTACAGGGCCCTGCCAGTAGTTCAGTTAGAGTGAGAGTTAAAGGCCCAGCCAGTGCTGATAGCAAAGTAGTTAGCTGCGGGCAACAGGAGAACATGGGCTGGCGCTTTTGTCTCAACCATGGCAAGATGTTTTTTTTAATTACTCCTGATCAATTAGCATAGAAACAACAAGTTTCTCATAAATCCATAGTTTCCTTTTTCACATGAAAAGTAAGTCTAAGCTGCTCCAACTTTGTAGGGCCGTTTCTGCAAGGGAATCTGACTGTTGTTTTAATTCAGAAATGGAAAATTTAATGCGTCTAGGTCCTGATCAACCTGTCTGCTCACTCTGGAAAGCATCAGAAGAGACACATTTAGTCAAACCGTTGGTACGTGCCCACAAAGTAATCTCAGGCATCCAGTGATGTTGTGTTTTTCCAGATGAATTAACCCCACAGGGCAGAATGAAAAGCATCAGACTAAGCGGAAGTGCCTAGGTTAAAGGTTTGGATATTAGACAAGTTCCAGCCCCTTGTTAAGAGTTCACGTTGATTTGGGCTGCCACCGGTCACGGTGAGTTTTGTCTATCAATGGACTGACAGTCTGGTTAGTTCCTATCCCTATGTGGTATGAAGGGGGCCAGGTGCGTACGCATAATCAGCAATCCAGATCAATTTCTGGATGGAAAGGATTAACTCTGTCTCCAGAGCCATTTCCTGTGGCATAGAGTCTGAGTCTCCAGATTTTCCCTGCTTTCCAAAGGCCAGAATGTGTGTGTGTGTGTGTGTGTGTGTGTGTGTGTGTGTGTGTGTGT